TGTTTGCAGGCTCATGTTTAATATCGGCGCCGGTATTTTTGTAAGGAGGTTCCCTCCTCCTTCCCTCTCCTCCCTTCTTTTTCACCCTTCTATTCCTTTTTTTTTTTTTGGACTCAAATTTGACGGGGGGCACGTGCCCCCGCGGCCCTCCCCTGGATCCGCGCCTGGGGGGGGGGGGGGGGGGGGGGGGGGGACATACCTTTATCAGAACTAATGCGAGTGGAAGCCCTTATGGCGTGGGGTTTGGGGCCCGCTTATTAAAGGGCCCTGAAAAAATTGGATTTTAGATGCTCTGTGTTGTGATCTGAGGCAATTTGTGTCCACTTTAACCAATATTGATATTTTCTTAGCAAAAGATAATAATTTGAACATTGTTTTCGAGGTTGGAATCACCCTATTCTGAGCTGTAGGCGTGGGGTCCGGGGCCCGCTTAAGGGCCCCCAAAAGAATAATTCTAGATGCTCTGTGGTGCGATCTGAGGCAATATCTGACCATTTTTACCAATATTTTCTTTGCAAAAGATAATAATTTAAACATTATTTTCAAGGTTGAAGTCGTTGAATAAGCTATTATTCTCAGCTAAATTCGTGAATTTTAAATGCTCTGTGGTGCGATCTGAGGAATTTCTGACCACTTTAACCAACATTTTTTTTAGCAAAAGATGCATTGTAGTACATAATAGGGCCTTGTATGAGACACGAGTTCAAAAATCTGGGGGGGGGGGGGGGGGGAGGGGGACGTCCATTTGATATTGTGTACCCCATCGGCCCATCCTTCAAAAAGTGGGGGGACATCCTGTCCCCCCCCCCCCAGGATTGATGCCCATGAGTGGCATAACGACTGGGGTTGGGGTTAAAATTCCCATGACCCCCCCCCCCCACCCAAAAAAAGGGGGGTGGGGGAAAGAGAGGAGGGGTACATGTAAATGCGCTGGCTTAAACTATCAGTCTCAGGCCATTCCTCCAACCCTGGTTTCGTCTCTGTTTCACGTCCATGTGACAAATTGAAATTTCATTTGGTACACATGTAAATCCCCTATGAAAAATTTCTCGCCACACCACTGCTCGGTGCGAAAGCAAACACGAGTGTTAATTTGTGACCAAGTCACAGCAACATCCACGCTGCCAGTTCGCAATTGTTAAACACACTTAAACTCATGCGCATTTTTCTCTGGGAATGTTTTGTGAGATTGTATTCGCTTTGCATAAATTTGCATTCGCATTGAGTATGAACTTGCCCTTCATTCCCACTGGTTGAAAGCTTGTGTTCACAATGAGCACATTCCCAGTAAAACGTTACGGGTTTTGAGAAATCCTGGTGTATGCAGATTCACTTGTCAAAATATGAGAAACAAGACTACGGTTCATCGTGGCCTGACCTGCTGATACGGGCCAAGTTTCCCTGCTTTGTTACTCACCATGAACTACATGTTATTAAGAAGATTTCCTCTTTTTATCCTGGTCTGTGTGTATTTTAAGGAAGCCACCTTTTAAGAGGGCCAGTGGGTTCGTCCCTAGGTTGCTCTAACTACATGTAGCTGCTCTGCACGTATGCACATTGTGCAAGAATGTCGTCACAGATGAACACGCAATAATCTCATGCCGAGAGTTACTGCTGGAATATTGAGAGTTGAGAGTTCTGCAGCCTCCAAAGGACTATTCAACTTTAAGGCAGAGCCTTGGAAGACTCCATTTCTGGAAAATATTAGGACTTTTGTACTAGTTGTTGTTCAGTTCTTCAAGATGTGAAGATTTCTCAGCCTGACAAGAGTTGTTTCTTTTTGAGGGACTGCTCCTAGATGTAGAAATCTACACATACAGTGATTCATGGTGTACCATCCCCTGATGTCTTCTGTCAAATTTTTACTCGCACACCATGGAACTTCAGGCCCTCTGGAATTGTAGCAGCATCAGTGACAAGATAAGACATTAAGATCTAGGAAGAGAAATTCTAAATTCCTCGCTTGCAGTGGAAATTGACAATATTGAATTCTGGTTGGTATCTTGTAACGTGTGACCAGGGAGCAAACCTGATTTTTTTAGAAACCGTGAATTTGAACGTGCAGGACAAAATTGTTGCGTTGGTCTTTGATGTCTGTCCAGTTACCTGGAGCTTTTGGGTTAAACTTTGTTTTAGTGGGCAAGCAACATAAACACCTGTGGATTGCTGAAAACGGACTTTCTTAATATTGGCCATGAACTTTCTGAGTTTGCAGAGTTTGCCGGGAAAATTGATTTCATGGAATTCACGTTGGAAGTATGTTTCCTGCTAGTGATGTATTGTCATGTGTCCACAACTGAAACTGTGAATCTTAAAATAGAATTTTTTCCTCATCCACATGAAGTTTTGTGGCATGACGTATATGTAATTTCATAGTATTGAATTTTACAGGATAGAATGGATAAAAGGAAGTAACATCACTGATTGAGTGTGTTTGTTACGAGTTTTATTGATCACAATGCCCCGGAGACGACTCCACCGTGTTCTTGAAGTGGCTCGCAGCGGCAAGACACAGGCTGTGTTTGTTTGTAGGAACTATGTCATGAGCAGCTTTCTCTTCTCAGAATTGTTTTACGGGATGAAAGTGAAGAAGCGTAAGTCTAAGCACTGTGGATATATCGATACTAGTACTCGATTATTCCATATTATTGTGATATCGATGTCGCCGATGGCAATTTTTTAATCATATCTGAAAAGTCATTAGATGAATATTTATAAAATTTCACTCAAAACTTTCTGAACTAAAGCACGCTATTAAAACCAATTTTCAAACTGTAAAAGGGCCTACAAATGTAAACAAGCAATAATATTTGTTACAGGACATTGTATTCCCTTAAAATTCTTTCGGATTTTTTTTTTGGTGAAATTTTGAAAAGCACGTATATTCCAACTTTAAAGGTAATGCCATATGGACACCAAATTGGATTTTTTTGGGCTGATTCAAGGAATGACAACACAATAAATCTGAGGCAGGTTTATTAAAAACGAACCTGTCAAAATTTCAGCTCAATCATTTGCAGAATGCTGTGAAAATGCATCTTCATTATTTTTCCCTAGAGAACCTGTCTCTAGAGAAAAATAATTCTCATTCACGGATATGTAGGCCCATAACCGATTGCAAACTAACCTAATTTGGTAACTTGGGAACAGTGTTTGAAAAAACAATTCTCTCGACCATTTTACCATCATTACCTTGCAATGGTTTAGTCCGAACCAGCGTGGGAAGTAATGGTATCCTCTTTTCTTGAAAATGACGGCGTAGTACTGGTAAATGCAATATTTTTACAGGATGCTTGATGCGTTTATTTACTCACGTAGGCTGTTTCCTAATATTTTGGCAGTTTTATTGGTGGTAATCCAATACCTAAAATGCACGCAAATGTCATTGTCAGCCTTTGGACAGACTTGGTTGCACAGTCATGGTTGTGATTGATCTAAACGTCATGGGGGTGGGGCTTAACGGGGTTAGTGACAGTGAATCAGTTGGACTTTTTGTTTGTGTATCATGTATTTTGTTTGTGTACGTATGTGGTGTTAAGTGTGAGGAAGATTGATTAGGTTCTGATATTGTGTATTACTCTGAGCCAAATCCTTCATGACTCATCACTTATCTTCTAACCCCTCTTTCTGTTTTGGTGCAGAAACTCATTGTACATGCACGTGTATGAGCACATTTGTTTATGGTGTCAATCAAGGATTTTCTATTGTTTCTCTTCCCTTTTCCTTTGTTTAAATACTCTACTGACTTTTCTTTGCAACAACTCCCATTGGTTTTGTACACGTTTTCTAATCGAGGTCGTCCTCAATTTGGTTCCTGTCCTCAATTCATCGATGATGTTGCACGTGTTTGACCACCATTTACACCGTAAACACGCACAAACACACCTAGTTGTATTCACACCGTCGATCGTTGACGTCCTATAGATAGTTGTCCCTATTTTGTTTGTACTTAAAAGTTTTTAGGAAGACTCCCATATGTTTTGTACACGACCCCAATTGCGGACGTATGCTGGGAATCGCGGACGATATTGGTGTCTTTTGTTCTCTAACATTTTCCGTCCACGGTTTGAATGCCTGAACACGCCCACATTCACATACATGTTCAAGTTCTCTTGTTTTACCATACTCTCGAGGACAATGCTTTGTGTTTCCCTTTGTCCCTGTTACCGTATATAACACTCTCCCATAGACTAAGCACACAGACTTATTACAGAGGACCGTTTCCAACAAAAAACCCAACTCCCGAGGACGGAAAGGATCTGTTGTTCTCCCTTTGTGTGTTCGTCCTCGGGGGTTATGTAGAACATGTACATGTACACACATTCTTGTTCGGTAACTGTGGGGACTACACACGAGTTGTCCCATGGTACTATGGGGACCGAAGACGCTGTGGGGACAGCAGGAAGTCCCCATAACTCTGTCCTAATTTGCCTAACAATAAAAAACTTCCCCATAACGCGGTGAAGACCCATGTGTAAACATGTATACATGTAGGTGGGGCTGGGCTGACGTCATCCGATGAAAACATTTATTCATTTGCACATGAGTTTTCTTTGGTTGCTATGTGATACAACTCAGCACTCCAGCAGTCGATTTCATGAAATTCATTGTAAGTTAAGATGCAAAAAAAAATTGATTGGCCCTTTAAGTACCCCGGTGGTCCTGAAGCTCATCGCCATTTTGAAAAAGAGCGCCTACGCTCCATTGCAAAATAAAGCCATTTTGGGGCCTTCTTTCATCCAAATTTCACAGAAATACGAGCTCGCAGTCCTCTGCATGGCTTCCACTTTTTTTTTTACAAAACGTCAAGTTTGTGGCCCTCAAAGTACTTTTACTGGCGAATTTGGGGGCATGCAAATCATGATTTGGCCGGCGTAGGCAATTTCGGGCCTATTTATCTGCCTGCACCCATAGGCAAGATTTCATGGTAAGATAATATAGAAATTATATCAAAATCTTGCTTTTAAGTTTATATGAGTTTATGGTTTTTAATTTGGCAGGTTGGACTGTGAAAACGAGAACAGCGTTCAGCCTAGCCAAGCCGATCTATATCCTGGGAAAGTGTTTCCAGCATAGTATAGAAGGTGAGACCATGCCTAGAGGATTTGTTTTTCACGCCAGAAAGTTACAAACCTATCGCAATGACAGTTTGGGTACAGTACATGTATCTTCCATATGACAAGAAACACAATATAGGGGACCACTTTGAGTTAGCAGTTTTTCTAATTTTGTTTACATACCTGAAACCATCCCAAAAGTTTTTGAAATGTGAATGGACATGTAGGCATATAATACATGTAATACATGTATGTGTTGAATCATTTCTTTCTTTCTTTTTTAATTTTAAAATCACCCTCAAATTTCCATCGAAAATGGATGGAAAAGTTGCCTAAGTTTCCCGTCCACTATTTGATGGAAATTTGAGAATAGTGTCAAAAAGCAATATAAATAATCACTCAAATTATACCTTACAATTTTCCGGCATCTATAAATTGATGCATTTTATCTTAAGTGGAGTCAGGGAACCAGACTACTTGAACATTTTTGTTTTTTCTGGTTTTTCGAGCATTTTCGAACACAAAACTTCAAACTTGTCAGTGTAACAATATTTGAGCTATTATACTTACCCCTCAAATAGTTCATTTCTGTAAATTACAGCAAAAGCCAATGATGTACATTCCCTATAAAAGAAGAAAAAAAAATCATCAATAATAGTTGACACTTGATGATGAATTTGGCGTGCCCACTAACTGTTTTTGTGGGATGAGCGTCCCTATGAATCATATTTGACACGTGCATTAAATTCTGTCAGTTCTGACACGTGCATGTGATGGGAGTCATTCAATGTATGAAGACTGAACACAGGCAGATTGTCAGACAGGAAATCATCAGTAAAATGCCCTTAACTCTGCGGTGTGCATATACGCGTAAGCGGTTGGAATGCGGATGTAATACTTCCTTCTCATTAATTGTAAGCACCATGTTAAGCCGCAAACATGTCTGCAAGGTTGATAGTGCAGCAGAAAGGCTGGTACATACTTGATGTATATGTACATGTACATGTACTTACAAATTAAAGCTGTAGTCCATCATTTGCAGCTATCCAAAAAGTGACTGACGTAATTATTGTTGAAAAACAAACTTGGTTGAAAGATAGCAAGGGGACTAAACTCCCTGTGAAATTATTCTTTCTGGCATGCTGTCATTTTGAAGAAATCAACGAAAGAAGACCTTTCCAACGGTGCTTCTTAAGACGCACCGTTGGAAATTTCCGTTAGCAGTTTGTTTTTGTATTCAGCGAAGCGCGCGCAAGCGTTGACACGACGCACACACACGCGCGCCCTCTATAATTCGTCGGATCAGTGCGCAACATCGCGTAGCTGCATTCGGCTCAGTAAGAACGTGTCTCGGACGCTGAATTCAGGCCCAATTCAAAACATGATTCAGCAACTTTTGATTTGAAATCAAGATCCTAGATTGCTGTTTTTCTCGAAATATACAGCCTTCGCTGAGCTGAAACTTCATCAGGTTAGTTGTTCAGCACCCTTCTTCAGATTTTGAGTACGTTTGTTGCTTCAAACGAACAAAATGCACAAATTACAAATGATGGACTATACCTTTAAAGAGTGAAGGGAATTTGAAGGGTAGCGGTGAATGCCACAATGAAAATTCAGTTGTTGACATCATGAAAGTTGCCATGTTTTCACTTGAACTGGCCTAAAGAGTTATTAACCAGTTCGCGTCAAAGGACGTGATAATACGCACTGGCTGTTTTTACAGAGGCCCGGCTGACGGGTTAAGATGTCAAGATTGCCTTGACTCGCCTCTGGGTGACGTCTAAACACGCTAATCCCTCGTGCCTTTTGTACACACACACAAAGTCTGTGAAGTCTGTGGAGGCGGACCGTGTGTTGATCTTGAATTTGCTGTGCACAACCAGCCTATTGTTGTACAATTTACGCTCCAGTGCACACCCAGAGTATTGAAACAATTGAGGTTTTGGCAAGAAATATCGTACAAATATTTGCGAATCAGCATTTGTGATGTTTGGCAGAATATCAGAAGTTGGCTGGAAAATTCTGCCTTTTGCAAAAATCGAAATTTTCGGCAAAAATTCTCCCGGCGCGAAATGGTTAAAGATGCGTTCTGCATGCTTTTCTTGAGTTTCACCTCAAATAATAGATTTGTCTTTTCAATTGCTGTTTTCCTCTGAAAATACAATGTAAAAGTTATTCACTTTTGAATGAGACATCGAACGAAAAAAATCCAGCAACGTTTAGTTCTTAAAATAATTCTTCACAAAACTGGAATGATTGGCTGCCAGACAATAATTCAGCTCTCGCACATGTCGCAAGGCGGGTTCATTTGTGCGCTGAATGATAGCCCCTTTTTATGGAGTTGCAGACGCCGAAAATCGAAATGAAGTAGGTTTTCATTTAAAGGTATAGTCCATCATTTGCAGCCATCCGAAAAGTAACTGGCGTAATTATTGTTGAAAAACAAACTTGGTTGAAAAATAGTAAGGGGACTAAACTCCCTGTGAAATTATTCTTTCTGGGAAGCTGTCATTTTGAAGTAATCAACGAAAGAAGGCATTTCCAACGGTGATTCTTAAGAAGCACCGTAGGAAAATTTAAATTAGTAGTTCGTTTTGTTATTCAGCGCAGCGCGCACAAGTATTGGAACGACGCACACGCGCGCGCGGTTGTTATAATTCGTCGGATCAGTGCGCGACGTCGCGTATAGCTGCAATTCAAAACAATTCAAAACATGATTCAGTAACTTTGGATTTGAAATTGAGATCTTAGAATGCTGTTTTTCTCGGAATATACAGCTGAAGCTTTTAATAGCTGAAACTTCATCAGGTTAGTTGCTCAGTATCCTTCATTAGATTTTGAACTCTTTTGTTGCTTCAAACGAACAAAATGCACAAATTACAAATGATGGACTGTAGCTTTAAACAAAACATACAAATTGAAAAGACATATTTCACTTCTTTTCCAAATGTCTATTGTCCAGACTCCTTCAACTTACAATGTACAGTACTGAGTGATTTGAACATGGGAAGGAAAAACACATTTTTTAAAACCGAAATCATGTTTATCACAGTTTTTCTTTACGCGACGTCAAAATCAATGTTAAAGGTTGCTTCATTGTACAGGGTGAGTCAAATAAAGCGAAACCCACATGTCGGGACTATTGTTTTAGTGAAGTTCTGCATGTAGCACTTTCAAAATCCAAGATATGAAAGCCCAATTCATAAGCTTTCTTTTAGTACAAGAATCATTCAAATCACTCATGTGCTTTTCAAGTTACGGAATTTTAAACAAACCCACCGTTTTAAAGTTCTGTCCACGGATCACATAAAAAGGTGTGCGTTCTTACAGCAAAACGAAAACAATTCACACACATCGCCATGCAATTTGTTTTCGTTTTGTTGAAGGAACACTTACCTTTATTTTTTTACTCACCCCGTATACCGGTGTTGTTCAAAATGTTCAATTTGTTTCTCTTAACAATTTTTTTTTTTGTTATTTGGAAGTTTTCCACCATCTGAAAATATGCTTTTATTTTTGGTTGCTCTTTTGCACCCATAATTTGCAAAAAGATATGCCTGATGGCTGAAGTATTGTCGGGCACAAACAATTTAAAAATTGTGGAGTCCGACTGGAATCCAAGCCCAAGTCATGAGTCATTCATCCCTGTCTCATGATGCCTGCAGATGCAGAGGAACGCTTACCAGGCCTGGATGCAGTCAAGTCGCCAGCCATGGAACTCTTCAAGAGGGAGTTTTCCTCTCGTATCTGGCTGACCTACCGTCGGGAGTTCCCTCAGCTGGCCGGCTCCTCCTACACCACTGACTGTGGCTGGGGATGTATGCTGCGCAGCGGGCAGATGATGCTGGCCCAGGCTCTGGTCCAGCATTTCCTGGGCAGAGGTGAGATTTCTGTTTGTGTCCTTCTTTTGATATCGGTACTTTTAATTTGTGTAGGAACTGATGACAGTCTTGCCAACTCATTAGAATGAGTGTTTCTTACATTTAAAGGTGGGGTAGATCATTTGTCACGGTGCATTTATTTTCGTTTGAAGTAACAAAAGTGCTAGAAATGTAAAGATAAGAAGGATGCTTAACAACTAACCTGATGAAGTTTTAGCTCAATGAATGATGTATTTTCCAAGAAAACAGTATTCAAGGATCTCGATTTCAATTCAAAAGTTGCCAAGTCATGTTATGAATTGCAGTAAAGTGACTTGCTAAAGGACATAGGCACCATGATCCTCTGGCTGTACATGTAACTGTGAATTTCAGGCTGAAGCAGAAGTACTTTCGAATGTTTGATCATCAACCTAAAATCCAAATACATTTTTTGATTCAATTATTAGAAAAAAATGTGAGCGTTCTGGAGAAGACAATGAAAAAAGACCGTAATGTAATGTTAATGGTAATGCCACGCTTTTGTTGAAAGGCACTTTTGCGTATGATTTTAGAGCTTCCGTGAGGTATATTAGCTCAAATTTCTTCTTTAAAATTGGTCAATAATCAGCCATTCCGCTATCTGTTCTTTGTACTACATGTATTTTAATAAGCTCTTTGTCAATTTACAACAAGTGCAGGCACACACAAATCCCAATTAGTGGCCTGCTGTCTAGGCTGCTGGTGCATGTTTAACTTGATCAGTGCATTTCTATTAAACTTGAATAATCCAATATTCCATCAGGTCCAGTTGGAATAATCGAATACTAAATTACTAGAAAGTGCACAGCCCAATAGTATTAAAGAGGTTGTGGAATGCTGAAAGTCGTTTTGTTTTTTATATTTTGTTGTTGTAGAGTAGACCCATATATATCATAATGACAAAGTCCCATTCTTTTGTAATGTGCGTTTATCTATATTTTAAAGCGGGGGACATTGTTGGTCCCCCTCCCCACTTTTTCTTCCCCGAATAAAAATTGTAGGCTACAATAATTATTCTATTGCTCAGAATACATGTAGCTGATTCAATTACTCCAAACTCAAAATTTTAAAAGATGATCTTTTGCTCAAATTAGTTTTAGTGGTCAGAAATTGCCTCAGATCACACCACAGAAATTGCTTTTCTATAAATGCATGTCTCCGCAACTATATCCCCCATTCACATTTAACTCCCCACATTTTCATTCCCCAACACTACGCCCTACCCGATCTATGATCGGGTAAATCAGCTTGTATGTTTATAAAACTGAAATTCATCGAGTAATTTGTTGGTCGACGAGCGCATAATTGAAATCAACAGTCGTTGGGTTCTTCGTAAAATGAGAAAAATCGTGACGTAATAAACAGGACTCGTTTATACTACGCTGCATCGGGAGTCCTGTTTATTACGTCACGATTTACTATGTTTCGTTTGCTGCCCCCAACGACGACTTTTACACAAATTGCACGTTCGGGTCGAAACAGGACCTGAAAAACAGCTCTCAAAAGTACCTTTTGTACTCATTTCATGACAGACACAATAGTCATTTTTATTTCATCACACCTTAGGCTACATATACTCGAAAAATGACGAAAATGTCTTCGAGCATTCCACAACCTCTTTAAAGGTAGAGTACCGGAATATTGGTTGCAGCTATCCAAAAAGTAAAGTTCTGAAAATAATGAAAGGTTTGCGGAAACACCATGTGCGAATAATTTCTCAACTAAGAGAATGGTTCTGAAAAGAACCAGAGGTATAAACTCTAGTAAAGTTCTGACAAAAGTAGTGTTGGAAAGCAAACTCCCTGTGAAATTATTCTTTCTGGCGTGCTGTTATTTTGAAGAAAACAATAACAGAAGGTCATTTCCAAAGGTGCGTCTTTAGAGTTTAGACGCATCTTTGGAAATTTCCGATAAGAATTCCTATTTATTTTGGCGAAGCCGTGAATGGGTTCCCGCAAGTGGTGACACTACGCACTCACTTAGCTAAAACTTCATCAGGTTAGTTGCTGAGCACCCTTCTTTAGATTTAGAGCACTTTTGCTGCTTCAAACAAAAAAATGCACAAATGACAAATGATACACTCTACCTTTAACCCTAACTGCCCTGAATCCTTCAAAATCCTCTTTGCCAAAGTGGAGGAATTTGGAGGATTGAGGTTACATGGCAAAAGTGCGTTACCGATTTTGTAGGATGCACTTTGTCAAGGTCTTGGGCCGGACCTTGTGTTGTTTTTGCTCAGCCATGCATAAATATAGGCCTGGATTATGCTTGAAATCCTCCGTACTGCTCCAGGATGTCACTGGCCAAGCCTCAACATACTGACAGTCACTGCAGCAGGATTTTGCAGGATTCAGGCAGTGGTCACCCCTCCACGGACCATATTCAAGAAATAATGGAGGAATTTGCAGGATTGAGGCTATTTTTCCGTGAGACCAATTGGAGGATTTTGCAGGATTGAGGCTACATCCTAGCAAAAAGGCCTAGGCAGTTAGGGTTACAGAACTATTGAATGTCATTGCTTAACACTATGGGGTTTGGTGATAAAAAAGCCAAATGTTGGTCAACTTTTCAACAAAAAGTTAGCTGAACTCTTTTTTGGAAGTTGGAGTGTGCCTTAAAATGATGAAACCTTTTCCAATCCTCATTTCCATTTCAGATTGGAACTACTACAATGAGCAGACCAAGGAGGAGCAGCGTTACCACCACGAGATAGTGAGATGGTTTGGTGACCAGCCAGATGACATGAGTCCCTTCTCCTTACACCGGCTGGTAGAGATCGGCAAGAGCTCTGGCAAGAAGGCTGGGGACTGGTATGGACCAGCCTCGGTCGCACACATCTTCAAGTGAGTCGGAAGACATTCTCTAGCCTTCATATATTCATCAGGTGGATTAGTTTCAAATTAGTTTTTGCCCTTCACCGACGTTTAAACACTGTATACTCAGTGTGTTACCTCCCGAGTGAAAGTTGGAAAAAAAAACCCAAACATTATTATTCCATGATGTTTACTACATGTATTTAGCCATGTATTAGACATATCAAAGATTGCAAACATCAATTCATCTGAAAATAAGAAAAAAATCACCCCTATTCATTTTTTTTTCATTTTTCTCCACACGGCCTGTACCCAGTTCCGTCTCATTTTGCCAGAATCTTCACAAAGGGCAAAACCTAATTTGATTTATATCACCCGACGCAAAATTCCATCTTATCATAGTTTATGCGGTACCCACTGCTATGTACATCAGATTCGAACCAGCCAACCGAATCCTTTAGCTCGGTGGTCGAGTGGTAAGACATCTGCACTAGAAAGCAGGAGGTCGTTGGTTCGAGTCCCACCCGAGTGATTTTTTTCCAACTTTCACTCGGGAGGTAACACACTGAGTATACAGTGTTTAAACGTCGGTGAAGGGCAAAACCTAACTTGAGAGCTGTAGTTAATGCCTCACTCGTTGATCACAAAATGTGAGGCGTTTTGGCAAAATGAGGGAGAACTGGGCAGAGGTCGAAATGAGGGTTTGGAGGTATTAGGAAAGAGAATAAAATTCTCTGTACAATACTGTTTGTTGCACTTAAATCTGACATTCAGTTGACAAGTTATTACTGTTTAAGTGTGCACTATTGACATGTCAAAAAAGTAAAAAACTGAGAAAAAAAGGCTTTTAAAGTTTAAACTTTTTTATAGACATGAAAATGAAAAAGGTCAATTGATTTTCCTTGAAAACACTATTAGTCCATGGTTGTTATACTACATGCACATGTTTTTCTTTAAAATATGTGTTTTAGACATCTCAAAGATTGTAAACATCAATAAATGTGAAAATCAGAGAAAGAAAATCACACCATTTCAGTTTTTTGCATTTTTCTCCTCTACGGCATGCCCAGTTCTGTCTCATTTTGCCAGAATCTTCACAAATTCCTTTTGTCTCAAGTCAAGTCGCAAGCTATTCAAATGAAAAGTTTGAAAGTCCGCGGCTAAAAAAAGAAGTGTGCGTTCTTTTAGCAAAACAAAAACAATTAACACACATCCCTACCGTATGTGAATTGTTTTCGTTTTGCTGAAAAAAAAACCCCACTTACCTTTTTTGTGATCCGTGGACAAAACTTTAGAACAGTACTCATGTTAAAAATTGCGTGACTTGAAAAGTACATGAGTGATTTGAATGATTGTTGTACTAAAAGAAAGCTTATGAATTAGGCTTTCATATCCTAGAGATTGATATTGCTACAAGTAGAACTTCGTTAAAAAATTGATCCCGCCATTTAGGTCTCCTATTTTTTGACTTGCCCTGTATTGTTGCTTTTGTCTGTAACACTAATCATAAAATGTGTTACCATAAAAACACATTGTATGGTTTCCCATTCATGATGTGCTCCTATTAAAAATTGCTAAACTGTTTTGATAATGTGTCATGAGTTTCTATTTACATGTACTGTCTTTATCCCTTTTTTCAGAGAGGCCATGGATCAGGCTATGGATCTGAATCCCCTGTTGGAACAAGTCTGTGTCTATGTGGCTCAGGATTGCACCAGTGAGTTTGGACCTCAGTTTCAGTCTCATTTTTGATAAATTATCCTACATACATTTAAATCTACATGTAAATCCAGGTCCCAATATCCAGGCTGGTGTAACTCCCCAGCTAATGCCGGTACCCATTTCTTGAGGGAAAGCGAGTTGATAATTATTGTGAATTTTTTTTGTCAAACTCAAAACCTGGCCCGGTAGCATTTTAAGCTCAAATCATTTCAGTGTTGTGATGACATTAATTGTTGTATTCAATGTACAATGACAACATCAGTGAGTTGTGAAGTACCGGCTGAAAACGTGGTTTTTGCTAAAAGGGAACAATGAGAGTATATATATGTGACCTTCCAGCACAAACCCAGTCAGAAGTCGCACGGCCGTATTTTGAGATACAGCATATAATACACTGTACAGGCAAAAATCATCGAAATTCAGATTTAGGCTTTGGAATCTAGAATAATGAATATATTTCACTTTCACTGAAGTTACTTTGTACAATTTTTTTGAAGAGTTCATTTGGGAAGCTTTGACGACAAATTTCTTGATGATTAAATTTGGTTAAGGCCTGAAAATTGGGAACTGGAAAAACCTAAAACTTCATCAGATTTTGCCTGATTCCAATATTGTGTACATCATTAGAAAGCTTATTCAATGTCCTTTCCAACGCGCCCCCAATCCCAGTTTTCAAAAATTGGTCCAAGTGACTGGTTGCTAGAGGGTCATGTGTTCAAGACAATAATGAAAATGAAATGCATTCAAATGTTACAGGTTGTGGATATCTTACTGGGATAGGGTAATAACTACATAGCTTTTTTTATTCATCCCATTTTCAGTCTACAAGGCAGATGTGATTAAGTTGTGCAAGCGGAAGCGTCCTGGTTCCCTGCAGCCGGTGTACAGTGACCATAGCTTGCCAGTGGCGCCTCCGTCGACCGTTTCTCCTCCCCTAAGCTCCGCCCATCAGCAGCCTACTGGACCCTATCCACAAGCAGGGAGTACTCCTTCCACATCAACTGGTTTACAAAAACCTGACCTTGATTCAAGTGATGTGAATCGGGCTGATGAGAAGGAACCCACGTCAATGCAGCAAAGCACAATTCAACAGTCAAGCCAGACTGACTTCTCAAGCAGTAGCGAACTGAATGGGAGCTCCACTCCCGCAACGCACCCACCGTCGGTGTTTACCACAAACTCGCACCAGGCCGATATCACCCCAGAGCCAAGCTTGGCCCGGCCTAAGAAATCGCATCCGCCCCCAGTAGCAGCCAAACCAAAGACAGTGCACCGGCCCCACTGGAACGGGAATAGCCCCAAGGCTGAGGAACCATCCTCCATACCCGAGACGGAGGATACACAGAGGTGGATAGAGCCGAGTGATATCGCTCACCAGCCTGACAGGGAACCAGTGTCAGCGTCATTAATGACGCAAGACGAGAAACCCAGGAATGAAGGCGATGGATCCTCAACGTCTGACAGGGAACCAGGGACAGCCTCGTCAATGACACAAGACGAGAAACCCAGGAATGAGGGCGATGGATCCTCAACGTGGTGCGCCGTGGTGATCCTTGTGCCTGTCAGGCTAGGAGGAGATGAAGTCAATCCCATCTACGTCAGCTCCGTGCAAGCTCTGTTCACTCTAGACTGCTGCATTGGGATTATCGGCGGCAAACCCAAGCACTCACTGTACTATTTAGGCTTCCAAGGTAGAATCGCTGATGCAGATTTATATCTCAGTAGAAATAATTCAGAGTGGGCTCAGTGCGGGACAGAGTTGTAGTCGAGTACTTTCCGAGTACCAGCTTAGCTACCAGAGATTATGATGGTTTAGTATGGAGAAAGCTGCATAATGCAGACACTGAACAGTAAATCCCCACCAAAAGAAATTAAACACTTTAGACAGAATAGATCAGAATCTTGTACCAACTAACCTTTTAAGACAAAAGTATTCGGAAAGTACTCACCGAGTACTTTTCAAGTACTTTTAGGGTACTTCTGTCCCAAAAGGTTAATTAAAAAGGGATTTTATGTAACCTAAGTTTCAAATTAATTTTTTCTCTAACACTGACCTCATTTTGTTGTCTACTGTCAATGTTTCTCTCGCGTTGTTCGCAAGAAAACAGCTCAATACTTGGTAATAAACAAAGTACTCGGAAAGTACTCTATTACAACTCTGGTGCGGGAACAAAAGAGGGCGCGTTTTTACCACTTTTGAGAACCCCTTGGATGGGACACTGCATGCCCATACTATCTGGTTCACGCCCGAAGTACGCACGACTTATTTATCCTGAATGTGGAAAAGCTAAGCTGTAGCGTCTTCGGGCATGAGCGTCAGGCGTCGTCTACAGGCAAATACGTTCAAATTTCACTTGCGATGGTCTCCCAGACTAATCCCCACCCCCAATAACTTTGGATCATTCGAAATATGCAGTGGATGGGCCGGGAACCAGTCTGGGTCTCCCCCAACTCTCCTTTTCTGGCCGTTGAAGGGGTACTTGTGCACGGAGCCCATAGACCTTACCACTTGTAGTATTATGCCAACAGGCAACTGAAAGGCAAAACAAACACCTAAGCATCTTTTTCACGTTGATTTTGCCCACATGAAATAGTCAATGGCAACATAACTTAGATTTAAAAAGATGTGTAAATGCAGTGCAGAATCAAGCAGTCTGCTGAAACTCTGATCTCTGGCAGTGTTGTAGTCGAGACCATCACAAGACCAGACACAAGACCAGACACAGAACTAGCACAAGACCAGCACAAGACCAGCCACAAGTAACAGGGCACGAACAATGACAAAGGAATGCCTTTGTTGCAGCTCATTTGAATAGCTTGTGACAGGAATTGCAACTGAAGGTCTTGTGTTGGTCTTGTGACTGTCTTGCAGGGTCTCGACCACAACACTGATCTCTGGGGCCAATGATCAGTGTTGTAGAACTTGTACTTTTTTGAGGGCTGACATTTCTACAAAAAATAGCAAATAACCAAGCTACAACAAAAACAACAAATTTGGAGTGCATGCATGATCTGTGTAGTTTTTCCCTCACTTTTCCTTCTATGAAATTGTCTACGAGTTTGTCTTTTCTACCTTTGATTTGACCGTTGGTTTCAAATTTTCCCCCCTTTTTCTGCAGAGGAGAAATTGATACATCTTGATCCTCACTACTGCCAGCCCGTTGTTGACATGAAAACTAGGGAGTTCTCCCTCTCTGTAAGTTTATTACTTTGTTTTAGTTTTACCGTAGAAAACATGTTCAGAGAAGAATTCTCTCAACCTTGAGACCTTCAATAATAAGTGCACAGTTTCTAAACACTCTGGAGATCGTTGGCTCAAGTCTTGTTATGGTCAATTTTCTTTTTGTAATTGTTTAACCAAAAATCATGATTACCTGAGACTATTTATATCTTCCTATTGGTCGAGAGCCTGTAACATGGGTGGCCTTTAACAGCTGTTTAAGCACTACTGAGAAATGTGGTAAAAAAAAAGGCTTTGGTTTGTGGTATGTGCGCACGTCGGCCGTAGCCATGCGAGTCAGCAAAATTAAAAAGTTTTTTCTCAACCGCCAAACTCACTGGTTGTTGACTGGAATCCTGCTGCTGCACAATTTTAACGTGTTTTTAGATGGGATTACAATCGAGAATAAGCTTTATGTGGCCCCTCTTGGGCTCCCATATGTTTTGCACTAAATTTAGTCGTGCACCATTTGCAGTCATCAGGCGACATTTGAAGGGAAAAAAAAGGATTAAAAAAAACAGCTGCGTCGATGCACAATTTTTGGGGCAAGCTCCATACCAGAAACTTTTTTTTGGCCTCCTTGTGTTTTTTTGTTTCATGGTCTATGGCATATTTGTACGTAAAAAATGGTGAAGAATCCTTAAAATAAATCCTGCCTCCAGATCACGTCAAAAATCTAATCGATTCGTACTTTTACCGATGACCACCCCTAAAACAAATTTCACGAAAATCGGTCAATAACTGTATGAGTAGTCTTGTTCACAGATGAAAACATATACCTCCTGGCAGAGGTCAATAACTAATAAGGTTTATGAATTTAAAAACTGACGTCAATCCAACCATGTGCTTTTACAAGGACTGCAATCATGGCAAGACCACCCTAAAACTTTTTAATGATGTTTTTGTCTGGCAGTCATTTCACTGCATGTCACCTCGCAAGATGGCTATTAACAAGATGGATCCAAGCTGCACCATAGGCTTCTACCTGCGCACCGAGGAAGATTTCAACGAATTCTGTGAAGTTGTTCCATCGGTAAGATCTAACTTGACCAAGACCAAGACTGAACAAAGCACTTTGGTTACCCATACATTCGTGGGAGGAAAGCCCCAATCACAGCATCGACCCAACTATAGTCAGCATCGTCCCAGCTATAGTCATCAGGGTGGTCTCTTAAGAAATGGCTGTACTGAGCTGTATAGTCCTTAGCTTTGGTCAAGGTGTTTGACGATAGTGTCTGATGATTGCTGGTCGGCCGCTAACATAAACAGTAGCTGCGCACTATGTACTCACAGGTTCTGTATGGAGTGACCTCCCATGGCTAGGCTTCAATATGCAAATCAGTTGGTGCTGATCATGAACAAATGCCTTGGAACAATCGTGCGCCTTGGCATTTAAATGTATTTCTTTATTTTTGTCGCTGGATTTCCAGCGACGACCTCATATGCGAATATAGATGAGATTATTGTATTCAGTACTAGGTTATGGAGGCTGATATTTTACATGGATAGAGAGCTGGATAGTGTGGCTACATTCTCCGACAAGTTTGGAGTTGGCAGACCAACATAACTCGATATAAATCCAGCAGCAGAATAACGAAAATAGCTCGAAAAAGACAAGCAATTGCGACAGTTGTTTCAGGGCATTCGACTAGCACCAACTGATTTGCATATCATAGCCTAGCCACCTGAAGTCACTGTTCGCACTTCGTGCAACATGTGAGTGCATAGCACCAGTGTTGTAGTCGAGTACTTTTTTCCGAGTACCGAGTACTGCCGAGTGCTTAGGTTGCCAAGTACAAGTACGAGTACTTGTACCTCCGAGTACAAGAACAGGTCTCCGAGTACGAGTACTCTTACTTCCAAGTTTGAGTACGAGTACGAGTACTGTACTTTGGAGTTCGAGTACGAGTCCTTCTATTTCCGAATACGGCCATACGGCAAATAGTTCATTGTGCGTAATTGGCTCAGGCCCAGTCAGACCGATATGCAGACCCACTGACGGCTAGCTGTTAAATGTGTTTGTCCGGACGTGCACAGAGGAAAATCAGGAAACTTTGATTTCTCCACAAGCCAATCAACCATTTCAAACTGAAAGTATCGATAAAATAAGGCTGTGGTATATAAAATCAAGCTATACCATTTCCCCCCGAGTACTGCTATTGGAGTACGAGTACACTTTCGACATGTCGAGTACGAGTACTTTGCTACCCGAGTACGAGTACCGTCATTTCGAGTATGAGTACTTTGACATTCGAGTACGAGTACGATTACTCCAAAAAAAGTACTCGAGTAGTACTCGAGTACGAGTACTACAACACTGCATAGCATGCACGTCTACTGTTTATGTTAGCGACCAACAATCGATCATCAGACACTTTTGTCAAACACCTTGACTATAAAATAAAGGCTATATAGTCCTGAGGGTAGTCAGATAGTATAGGGACTGTTTCATCGGCCCGATGATTAGGGGTAATAGAAATGTTAGGTGCTTTGATAAATACCCATCAAAACCTGTAAAGCACTAGATAAATACCCATAATTATTTTAGCAGTTGTAGCAATTAGATTTGGATATTTCGTTCCTGTAGATTGTCCAGGGTCCACCAACCGCCAACTCCAGAGACTACCCGATGTTTATACTGCGAGACGGTAGCTGCCACGATTGGAATAGCCACCACGCGACAGATGAGGAGAAACCAGAGCGCTATCTCCGGGTGCGACACGTCAACCAGAACGGCCAGCTCATTGCCCCCATGCGCGAGACCGAGGACTTTGTATTCTTAGACTCCTGAGCTGGACACCAGTGAATTGCTGGTGCCCGTCGGGTAACGAGAATTTTTTTTGATAATAGGTTGGAACTCTGGTATTTGAATGCTACTGCAATTGACACAGTGGCATCATGAAGAAAGCTGGGAATCTTGGAAAGGATCTTGTCCAAGCTAAACTCCTCCGACGCATTTCCGTTTTTTCCAGGATGAGGTTATGGTGGAAGAGTTGTTACTTCCTGTACCTTAACCACGATAACCTAGTTTGAAATGTCACTTACAAGTCTGGCGTAGATTGGGTTATCCACTCTTTCTGGACTGACTCCAATTTTCAGAAGGTTAGGAGGTTTGGATGTGAAATATTCTCACTGATTTCAAAGCAAATATTTTACGTTTTCCACAGAAAGACAATACGATACTTGCCCGCGCAAAACATGATTTGGACATTTTCAAAACATCTAAGGTTTTCCAAATTCTGTACAACATGAACATTAACATTTTGTTTCACATTCATTTCTGTTAAAGGCTTCAAAAACTTCAGATAAAAGGGGTTTACAGCATTTATTAACTAGTTTCGCGCAGGATAACGTTTATATATACCCCCCAAAGGTTTTGCGTTATTCGGAACGGATGACGGATTAACACGCAGGAGCGAGGCCAGAAATATCTTTCAGTGACCCGCTCGCAGCGAGCGAGGCCGGAAATATGAGAGTGCTGCCTGAGGGTGATGGCTTCAACCCGCCTGGCTTGAAGTCGAGTGAAAAGTAATCCCTCGCCTCATTCCGTTCTTGTCAAAATAATCCTGGCATGAACTGGTTAAAGATTAAAAACACAAGTACACCCACTTGTTTCATTTAGGAATTAGTTAATATTATTGATCAAATTGAACGAAGAAATTGACTGCAGCGGGGTTCGAACCTTTGCCCTCCGGAATACCATACCGGTGCTCTAGCAACTGAGCTGTTCATCCCCTTGTTTTGATGCACCCTGAATTTTCAGTTCTTTGATTTGTGATGGGGATGTTCTGGTAAAATGGAACAGTTGGGTTTTAGAAGGGCACCCTCACATGGTTTCACGTTTTAAGTTCCGTTTTGTTGATCTTTTATGTACATGTATGTCTTGCCAAGTAAAACTACAAAATGACATTAACCACTTCGCGTCGGATGACGTGTTAACACGATCTGGCTGTTTCCATACACAGGCACGGCTGAGGGGTTAAAACGTGAAGCATGCCTCACCTTGCCTCCAGATTACGTCTAACCATGCTAATCCCCCATTTGTTTTGTTCACACAAAGTCACACAAGTCTGTGGAGGCGGACTGTGTGTTGTACTTGAAATTGGCCGCTGTGCACGGCCTGTTGTGGTACAATTTACGCTCCATGGGCACACCCCGGAGTGTTGAAAAATATGAGGTTGCGGTAAGAAATATCCTACAAATCCTAAAAATGCTGTTGATATGACTCTCGTGAATCAATTTTTGTGGCTTTTGGCTGTATATCAAAAGTTGGCTGCAATATCTTGCCTTTTTCGAAAATCAAAATTTTTGAGCTAAAATAATCCCGGCACGAAGTGGTTAACAGATTAGCACAAGAACAGCTCTACGTGAGCTGTCAAACCTCTGTGCAAAACGTAGAATCTTTTGTTTTGTACCTTTACACAGCCCTAACCTTACAATGAAAAATTCCTCCTTAAAGGTAGGGTAGATCATTTGTCATTTGTGCATTTTTTTCGTTTGAAGTACACAAAAGTGCTCAAAATCTAAAAGACGGGTGCTTAACAACTAACCTGATGAAGTTTTAGCTCGGTGAATGCTGTATATTCTGAGAAAACAATATTCTGGGATCCTGATTTCAAATCAAAGGTTGCCGAGTCATGTTTTGAATTGCGCCTGAAATCAGCATCCCGGACACATTTTCATTCAGCCAATTGCAGGAAGGCAACGTCACGCACTGAACTGACGAGTAAGAGTAACCATGTGCGTTGTATCAACGCTTGTGCTCATACATTCACGGATTCACCGAATTACAAACCAACTACTAACGGAAATTTCCAGAAATGCGTCACCATTTGACGCATCTTTGGAAATGGCCTTCTTTTATTGTTTTCTTCAAAATGACAGCAAGCCAGAAAGAATAATTTCACAGGGAGTTTATTGCCATTACTTTATTTAAACCAAGTAGTCTTTTCAACAATAATTTGGTCAGTTACGTTTTGGATAGCTGCAAATGACCTACCCTACCTTTAATATTAACCCATCACCTGGACTACATTGTAGCACATTGTGTTTATTCACTGAAAAATCCAATAAACCATTCAGTGCTGGCCAGCTGGGCAGTTTTCTAGCACTACCTGGAATAATACGGCGTTTTTTTCAGGCAGATCAGTAATTAATAAATGGGTTAATGTGTCACTATGTATAGATGCCAAAAGAAGAAGAATTATTATGCTGTTAAACTTGGCGTGTGTATAAACAATCAGTGTATATTAGTAATGTACAATGTATCTTGCCCTAATAGCTTCCAGTGTCTAAAATTTAATGCACACTGGAGATCACATTGTTTTATCTGACCAAGAAATAAGTGTACAGTGTTCTGAGACAATTACTTTCGTAAATGTGTAGTGTGTGCACTCAAAGATAGTACACCCAAATGTCAAAATTGAGTTTCATTTATGAGTAATAAGGCCACAAACTTTACGTCAACTCAGTTTATTTTTCTCTGTGATATACATGTATAAACCGTACAAAAAGGGAGAATTAAAAAAAATGTACTGTAAATATAATACTAGATTTGCAAATAATCGCAAAGCACGTACAGAGGCTCAGCCATGCTACTTATCGATTAATTAATTGATAGAATATTTGGACTCGTCAGTGTTGGGAATTTGATTATTTTCATCGTGGTGTTCGTCTCTGTTCGTGTGGAAATGTTGATCTGTAATTTGTATCTGCAGAAGAGTGGATGTGATCTTGTCACTAATTGTGCAATGGACTGCTCAAGCTGTATTGTAAAGATGTAATCTGGATATATTAAGGCCTGCAGGGCCCAATTTCATAGAGCTGGGCCCCATTTCATAGCGCTGCTTAACAGCCGACTTTGTGCTTACCGAGCCTCTATCTATTTCATAAAGACCGTTAAGCAGTAAGCATAGCAAAAGCACGCTTAACCCCAGAAGAAAACTTTGCTTAAATCAATGACGTAACAATAGAAATCTCCATGCGCGCACAACCGTTAGCATGAAATAGTGCTTAAGCAGCAGCATGATTTTCTGCTATAGTAAGCACAACTTTTCTGCTTACTGTTAAGCAGCGCTATGAAATTGGGCCCATCTTCAGCACAAAATTTGCTTAAGCACGAAAAAACATTGCTTAGTAAAATTGGGTTGCCGGCCAAAACTCAATGCGATGTACATTGCTTGTGACTGGTATTTAGCGGTTGTTTACTTAGCATAACAACCTCATGGAGTTTTGGCCGGTAACCTGATTTTACTAAGCAAGATGTTTTTGTGCTTAAGCAAATTTGGTGCTTAAGCAGCTCAATGAAATTGGCCCATGATCACACTATCGTCTCTCCTACCAATGTTTCAAATCAACACGGATCCACCGTAAACGAAACTGGGTACCGTATCATTTAACATGGGGAGGCAAGGCATACCAGTCACACTTAAAGGTAATATACAACATTTGCTTTTGCTGAAATTTTCAGAAGAGGATGGATTTGGGGGTTAGTATTATAGCAAGTTCATAGATGCTGGAAAAACCAAGAACAAATTCTGTTCTTTTAGTCTGGTTCCCCGACCCTACTTCAGATGAAACTTAGCAATTTATAGATATCAGAAAATGTCAAGTCAGGGAACCAGACTAACTGCCTTGCACCCGTTCACGTATATAACTGATTGCAAACAAAATATGGACCAACTAAATTTGGTAAATTGGGGATGCAGTATTTGAAAAAAAGTCAATTTTTTTTCCAAAGATGGTCGGTTGACCAATCCGGGTGGAAATTTACGCCGTGCGTCCAGGAAGTAAAAATGATACACGCCCCAGGTAACGTCATCCCGGTGAGTATCCAGCTCACTGCCGTGCCGTATTTTTGTCTGGTAGCACCAAAAATTCCCTCTGGAACCCGCCTCGTAGACATGTAGTGTGTGACATGTAATCTTTACGGAACCAGTATGTTGTTGTAGTCCTTGTAACTACTGCAATAAAGACATATAAAAAAGTGTTGGCACCAGACTATTTCATTGAGTGACTGCCGAAGAACTTGAATATCTTGTGATGCATAAAGTTGCAAAATCAACGAAGGCCTTTATCAACAAGGCAGTGAGGCCACTAAAAAAAGGCAGTCAGGCTACTAAATATTTATGAGGTGTAGTAAAACAAATACAGCATGGTTTATTTCTGGGAAATAGATGGAATAACTGGTTCCTCGGTGTAGGTCAGCTTGACGCTGACCTACACCTTGGGACCAGTAATTCCCACTTCCCCTCAACCTAGTTTTGTTTTGTGATGTTTGCAAATGTTTCATATTACCTTTAACCGGGTTGTATACGGATCAACTGTAGATTTGTGATTTTCTACCTGGGAAGATCCGACCGACCCTGTTGGTGACCAGGGTTAGATATTACCCATGTAGATCACCGAAATCTCCGTGTTCCTGAAATCTCTGTTTTCCCGAAATCTCTGTGGTGGGTCCCAGTTTTGATTTGAAAGGCCCTATAGAGACACGTTGTGAACACAATACTTAGTGGTTTTTGCACCTATACATAACATGTAACTTTGTGGCACAACCAACACAACGCTCCCTACAGAAAATATGTTTGTATCTATGCAACCAACTTAAAAGTTGTCACAGCTCTTGTGTTTAAACTGAGCTCGTTGGAGCTGGCTGGTCTCAACATTGGCTGCATGTAATTGGCTGTGTAAGTGTAATATGTTACAGTGCATATATTAAAAAAGTCTGTTGGTTTATGTTTTTGCATAACTTGTAATTCTCTCAGAATGTATCATTAACACTGCCTATTAGTGGTTTTTACGCCTCAACATTAGCAGTGTCCCAACTACGGTTGGAACAGTCCCAACTATGGTTGGAACAGTCCCAACTATAGTGGAACAGTCCCAACTATAGTTGGAACAGTCCCAACTATAGTGGAACAGTCCCAACTATAGTTGGAACAGTCCGAACTATAGTGGAACAGTCCCAACTATGGTTGGAACAGTCCCAACTATAGTGGAACAGTCCAACAACTATAGTGGAACAGTCCCAACTATAGTGGAACAGTCCCAACTATAGTTGAACAGTCCCAACTATAGTTGAAACAGTCCCAACTATAGCCGGGATTGTCCCAACTATAGTCGGGACGATGCCATGGTTGGGCAGTAATGCTCAAAGCAGAAAGTCAAACTTTGTTCAGTATCATCTGTAATTTGTATTTGAAGAAAATGTACAAATTTTACTACAGTGTCTCTAAAAACAATGTTGCCCCCTCAAATAACATCATGTTGATCTTATAATGTATGGAATATCCCCTTGCACAGCAAGGGTCAATGACATGCGAGCAGATTCTGTGATTAATTATGCAACTAGACTGCGTCTTGACCTCGAGATTCTGACCATTCAGCGGCGCCTTATATCAGGTCTTCGTTAACTTCTTGTATTATAAATACATGGTAGACAAATTGACCAAT